AGTGGCCCAGTTTCATTCTTCTGCATGTAGATGTCCAGTTTTCACAACACCGTTTGTTGAAGAGACTAGGGAAAGCTTTTTTGAGGAGATGATGTTTCAGCTAAGCTATGAAGAATAAACAGCTATTCACTAGTGCAGAAGAGATAAGGAAGAAGAATGGAGCAAGAATTTGGAATAGCATATCCAAAGGCCCTGTGTTGGGCTAAGAGACCAAGGCAATTGAAGACTAGCATGGCTAGAGTAAAACAAGAGGGGAGGGTGTAGGGGCCAGACACTACAAGGCTTTGGAAGCCCTTGTCAGGAGTTTGATTTTTATTCTGAGAGGAGCAGGGAATCATGTGAGGCTTTTAAGCAGGGGACTGACTAAGTTTGCTGTTTTGAAATGATCACTTTTGCCCCAGTGTGTGAAACGGATTTACAATGATAGGGCTTAAGAAGATAGATTGGACACCATTTGTCCAAGTGAGAAATAATGGGGGCTGGGACTCCCATGTTGGCAGTGGAGGTAGCGTGAAATGGCTGAATTTCAGAGATTTAAGAGAGAAAACTTGGCAGGGATATGAGATGAGTGGTCATGAAGGAGAAGAGAGTGTCAGACATGAGTCCTCAATTTGTGTATCTTAGGCATTCCTTCAGACAGGAATCCTGGAGGAGGAGGAAAAGTTTGGGGGAGGGGAAAATCAGAAGTTTACTTCAAATATATTGGGGCGCCTGGGTGGCTTAGTCAGTTAAGCGTCCAACTTTCGCTTGGGTCATGGTCTCGCGGTTCGTGGGTTCGGGCCCCGCATCGGGCTCTGTGCTGACTGCCAGCTCAGAGCCTGGAGCCTGTTTCAGTCTGTGACTCCCTCTCTCTCTGACCCTCCCCTGCTCACGCTGTCTCTCTCTCTCTCTCCTAGAAATAAATAAAAGATTAAAAAAAAAAATTAAAAAAAAAGTTTACTTCAGATATATAGAGTTTGAGGCACCCTTGAGACATCTTGGAGTGGATGCCTTGTAGGCAGTGGTGGTTATGAGTCTGATCTCAAAGAAGAACTGGAGAATTTAATATGAGTCATTGACACATAGATTATTGATACTCTGGACAAGGATGAAGTCATTTACAGTATAGTGGAGACCTTTAAAAAAATACTTATGTTAGTACCTGGGCTCCCGGTAGACCAATTACTACAACCCCCATTCGCCCTGCCTCACGCCTCTAGGTTCAGATGCAGCCCAACGGACACAGACACATGGAAAGGTCCTGGATTATACAGCCTGCTAAAGCATGCACAGAAATGGCCTTCCTAATATCCCCACCCTTTCAGACCCCATTCACTCTCTCCAGACTGTCTCCACTGCCTACTGAATAGAGTCATTCAGTTTTCAGGGCCTTCCTCAGCTCTACTCCAATCTAACCCTTCAATCTTAACTGCAGGCTGCTTCCCAGCACAAACTGTCTGAGTCATGTGCTTTGTCTACCCCTCACTCTGCCTGCCTCTGCTCTCTGGCTCCTGTTGTTCCCTCCCTGAAGTTATGCTCTTCATTCTACCTTTAACTGGCTCACAGGCTGTTCTGTACTCTTCAGGATCTAGATCAGGGTCCCATCCTTCCTGAAGCTTCCCCAACCCCTATAAGGACTAGAATACTTTATTTCCTTTGAAGAATATCATCACTTAATAATCTGTACCACTTATTTTATTCTTAGCAGAAGTGATTGTCATTTTAGAGTATATTCTAACTAAATCATGTCTTACACTGTAGCCCTTCCTATTCTTAAGAGATGTGTTTCCAGAGTCCTCAAATTCTTTAAATTATTCCAGAAACAAGTGTAGAGCTGTGTAGAGAATATCCAGCATATGCTGAATCAGAAGTAGAGAGGAGGAGGGTGGCCCTATACCTGCTCAGTGGACAGGCGGTTCACACGTGAGTCTCAACAAAACTGTGGCCTTTTCCCAGAGCTCAGAATTCTAATGATAGCTGAAAATGCAAACGATAAATCAGAGAATGCCAAAACTTGCTTTCTTATGTCCCCTACAAGTCCTTATGCCTCAGAGGTCCCCTGCTGGAACAGGCTGATAAGGCAGATAACTTACTTATCACAATGGGACTTGTCTGATCCTGTAGCAAAAAGAGCTGCTCCCAGTGTGCGGGGAGACTGTTTCCTGGCCTGGGGTGGAGAAGCCTTTGGAGTCTTACATACAGTAAGACACAGACAAGAGTGAGCAGGCAGTGGAGATGCGGGAATTAAAGGATTTGCCCATCTGGCATCATTTGACCTCTCTGCACTCAGATTACTTACTCTGCCTCTTCACATGATCTCCTGTGGGCCTGGGGATGACCCCAGTGACCCGGGGTTTGCAACATCCTAGTAGAGATGACATTGTATTAAGCCAGAGAAACTCCCGGTGCAGACTCCCTGGTAAGCCCTGATTGTTTGCAAAATGCCAGACTGTGGTCAGGAGTCTAGATTTAAGTATATATTACAGGCAGTCAAGAGCTTGAATTCTTTGTGAGTTTTGTTTTGTTAAGACAACAGAATCTTCAATCTATTTAAAATTCATAACAAGTAAAATCCCTGGCTGTTGTGAATATTATTAAACTAACAGATACTATAGTTGATCTCAGCCAAAAGTCCCGGAAGCTATGTATGAATTAATTTTTAATTCTTAGATTTCAGGTTTAGTAGTAGATACTGTTGACTAATACTAATCGATTTTCTCAACAGTGCTTGAGAGTTCATTCTCATCAACACTTAATATTTTCAGACTTTTAAAATTTTAGGCATTTGTGTGTGTGTGTGTGTGTGTGTGTGTGTGTGTGTGTTGGTATCTCATTGTTTTGTTTTGCATTTTCCCAATGGCTCATGAGGTTAAATGACTTTGATATTGATTTGGATATCCTCTTTTGTGAAATGCCTGTTACTATCTCTTTCCTATTTTTGTAGTGGTCTTTTTCTTACTGCTTTGTAGTTCTTTGTACATATCAGATATGAGTCTTTGGTCAGATATGTGTACTGCAAATATCTTCTCCCACTCTGATTTGTGATTTTTGTTACTTGTTTGTGTGTTTGTTTTTGCTTTGTTGTTGTTTTACTCTCTTAATGGTATCTTCCAATGAGTGGAAGTTCTTTACTTCAGTGTATCCCAGTTTGTCAGTGTTTTCCTTTATGGTTGGTCTTTTTTGCAACCTGCCTAAGAAATGTTTACCTATTCTAAAGCTATGAATATTCTATTATTTTATCCTCAAGCTTTATTTTACCTTTCTTGTTTAGATTTCGAGTCTACCTGGAATTGATTTGTGTGTATAATGTGAGGTAGAGGCCAGGATTTTTTTTCTAGCTGGATATCCAACTGATTCAGACCATTTACTGAAAAGACCTTTATTTTCCTTATGCTCTGCAGGGCCAATTTTGCCATAAGTTAAGGATATGTGTACACACACACACACACACACACACACACACACATATGTATGTATCTGTTTCTGGACTTTGTATTCTGTTTTATTGGCCTCTTTGCAAGTCCTCATGTTAGTTCCACACAGTCTTAATTCCTGTAACTTTAAAGTAAGTGTTGATGTCTTATAGTATAAATCTTCTAACTGTGTTGCTTCTTCTTCAAGATTGTCTTGGCTTTTCTTGGTCTTTTGCCTTTCATTTAAATTTTAGAGTTAGTTTGCCAGTTTACCCCCGAGAAACATGCCAGACTTTGACATGTGGGATTGACAAATCATTTCAGGGAGAATTTTAATATCTTTATGATATTGAGTCTTAACCCATGAACATGGTGTGTTCCTCCAATAAATATCATATTTTATAGTTTTTCATGTAGAGGTCTTATATATCTTGTGTTGGGTTGAGTCCTAGGTGGTTGGTTGACAATATTAAATGGTATCTTATTTAAAATCTCATTCTCTAATGACATTTTTAAACGACAACATTTACATGGTTTGTTGTTTGTATAGAGAGATACAGTTGATTTTCACATATTGACTTTGTATCCAATGACCTTGCTAAATTAACTTACTAATTCTAAGAGTTTTATTCATAGATTGTTTTGGATTTTCTACATGTAGTTATATCTAGAAATAATGTAGTTTAATTTCTTTCTTTTCAATCCTTATACTTTATTTATTTATTTATTTATTTATTTATTTTTATTTTATTTTATTTTCTCTTCTCTTTTTACACAGGTTAGTACCTCCAGTGCAGTGTTGAACAGAAGATGATGGGGACATCCTTGTCTCAGTTCCAATCTTGGGGATCTCTTTCAGTATTTCACTGTTAAGTGGCATGTTTGCTTTAGATGTTTTAGTGATATTCTTGATTAGGCTGAGGAAATTCCTTTCTATTCCTAAGTTATTAAATGGGCTTGTTTGTTTTTTCCTAAAATCATGAGCAGGCATTGATTTTATCAAGTGCTTTTCTGCATCTACAGATATAATCATGTAACTTTTCATTTTTATTCTCTTGACATTTATTTTTATTCCCAGTGATTGATTTTTGGAATGTTAAGCCAATCTCATTCCTGAAATAAACTCAACCCAGCAAGGCTATATTTTTCAATACATAATTATTTTTATTGAGATTTTTGCAGTTATGTTCATGAGAGATTGACCTTAATTTTGTCAGATTTGGTATCAGGGTGGTGCTGAAATAAAAATAAGTATTTCTCTCCTGGAAGAGTTTGTAATTTGACATTTTCCTTAAATGTTTGGATGAAAACTCTTTTGATGACATGCTTCAGCACTAGTGTCGTGGGTCACATTTTGGGAAACAATGGTCAGGGCAAGACTTAAACATCAAATAGTCAATTCTTGTCCATTTGAATGCTCTTGTTTTTATTCACTTCCTCCCTATGTAGCACCAGCCACTTTACCTTTTTCTTCCCAGCTGTGTGGGGCTCAGCTAAGTCACCACACAGAAGAGTAGTAAAGCCATTTGAGACCAAGCCTGGTCCTCAGGACGGCATTCTCTCCCTGCCGCCAGGCAGCCTGCTCCAGTCCTGCTCAGCCATCTCTACACTCCCTCTAACAGAATGAATGCCCTTGATGGTGTCCCCTTCAAGGTGCCCAATGGCTTTGTGATAGGCACAGAGCCCCTGCCTGGGCCAGAGCTCAGCGTCCCAGCTTGCAGGGAGCTTCTGCTGGGGTCTATGGTAAGTACCTCTCTCTGTCCATCTATCTCCTTGTCTCTGGGTCTAGACATCTGATGCTGAGACTCAGGAGTTTGTTTCCTTGATTTTATTTTATTTTAATTTTTTTAAGAAAGCCACAAAGCCTTTTTTTAAAAAAAATGTTTATTTTTGAGAGTGAGAGAGAAAGTTTAAGTGGGGTAGGGGCAGAGTGAGAGGGAGACAGAATCTGAAGCAGGCTTCTGTCTCTGAGCTGTCAGCACAGGGCCTGATGTGGGGCTCAAACTCATGAACCGTGAGACCATGACATGAGCTGAAATCAGAGGTCGAACACTTAACCGACTGAGCCACCCAGGCGCCCCCAAAGCCTTTTTAAAAAAATATTTATTTTTTAAATAATAAAAATTATTATTTTTAATATTAAAATTAAAGAGAGAGAGAGAGAGAGAATATGAGTGGGGGAGGGGCAGAGAGGGAAAGAGAGGGAAAGAGAGAATCCCAAGCAGGCTCTGCACAGACAGTGTGGAGCCTGACACCGGGCTGTAACTCATGAACCGTGAGATCATGACCTGAGCTGAAATCAGGAGTCAGAAGCTTAACCGACTTAGCCACCAGGTGCCCCCTTTCCCTTGATTTTAAAGGGCAACAAGGCCATCTCTGGTATATTCTAGAGAGTTTTAGAAATAACCCAAGAGGAAATTTCGTGTTTCATCATGAAGGCTGGTGGCTTGTGATGAAGATTATTCAGTGGGTCTTATTTTAAGTTTAGGATAACTGGAAGCCTGCCTATATGAAGTGACTGAGAGTCATTGCAAAGATACTCCAATTCCTCTCTTCGCCATCAGCCTCCTGCCCTGTCTAAAATTCCACCTTTTAGGATCACTCCTGTGAGCTAAGACACTATCTCCAGAATCCCCTTTTAAAATGCAGACAGTTACATGGGACACATTAGAAGGGATTACTGTTCCATAGACCAAAAACACATCTGCCCTGGAGGCACCCTCAACTTCAGATCTTTGCTGAGGAGGTAGGAGGATGGTATCTCAGGGTAGTTTTTGTTTTTGTTTTTGTTTTTAAATATTTTATTTATTTCTAGGAGAGAGAGAGCGTGAGCAGGGGAGGGTCAGAGAGAGAGGGAGAGACAGACTCTGAAACAGGCTCCAGGCTCTGAGCTGGCAGTCAGCACAGAGCCCGAAGTGGGGCTCGAAACCACAAACCGCGAGATCATGACCTAAGCGAAAGTCGGACGCTTAACCGACTAAGCCACCCAGGCGCCCCTCTCAGGGTAGTTTCAATTTGCCTTTCTCTTATCACAAGTGAGGTTGAGCAACTGCTCATGTGTTTAAAAGCCATCTGTATGACTCTTTTCTGTGGACTGCCCATATCTTTTGTTCATTTTCATGTTGAGCTGGTGGTCTTTTTCCAGTCTAGATATAGCACTCCCTATATTAGCAAATGTAGCCCCTTGTCTGTGATATGAGTGCTGTTTTCCCCCTAGTTTGTCATTCTTTTTTGACCTTGCCTATTGTGGTATCTTTGCCATGCTGATTTTGCACCTGTGTGTATCTGTAGTTTTATGGCTTTTGGATTTTGATTTACAGTGAGAACGGTTTCCCCCACTTCAGTTTATAAATGATTTCTTCCCTGTTTCCTCCTAGTACTTTTACGGTTTCATACATACATTTGAATGTTTGATCCTTTTGGGATTCATCCTTCTATAAACGTGAGAATTTCTTCCAGCTAGCTAACACCATTTATTGACTCATCCCTCTATTTCCCATTGTTTGAGATGCCACCTTTATTATTTACTAAAGCCCCATAAATATTAAAGTCTATTTCTAGACTTCCTATTCTGTACCTGCATCCGTGGAGGCAGAATTTGCCATTCGCCGGTCATTGAGTTCCAACGACCCCAGTGCTAGCTAAAACTGAGGGTGAGAGTGCGGTGGTCATGGATGCTTGAGATTAAGAATCGGAAGCTGTATAGGCCTGGCAAGTTTTTGGCTGAACAGGTTCCCCAGAGGCCAGGGAGTAGGGGTGCGCCCCATGGCCCCGGTTTGGGCCCCAGAGCCTCACGTCCGTTTCCTCACAGCACGACTTCAGCCTAGAGAGGACGGCGCTCTTCTGGGTGGAGGCTGTCGTCCGGGGACCCTGCCCGTTCCATTGCGACGCTCCCGGAACGGCGTCAGCGCCTCCCGCCTGGCTCTTGCTGGTCAGACCCGACGGCGGGCTAGTGCCCACGCCTGCCGCAGACACGGGCCCAGAGGCTGGACCCCAGCAGCGGCTGGAGGAGGAGGAGGAGGAGGTGGAGGAGGAAGAGGAAGAGAACCAGGACGACGACCACGACGACGAAGAAGCCGCCTCCACCAGCGAGGAAGAGCCACAACCCTGCAGCCCCCATCCCGGTTCCCCTGCGAGCCCCGGCCCGGGCCATCCTCGGAGCTCGCTGGACGTGCTGCGCGGCATGAGGTCGGAGCTGGCGGGGGCGCGACGGCGGCTCTCAGAGGGCAGGCTGGCTGCCCGCCCCCGCGCCCTTCTGCACCGCATCCGCCACCGGGCGCTGAGCCTCTGCCCCAGCCCGGCGCCGAGTCCGTGCCCGGTACCGCCCGCAGGCCCCGCGCCCTCGCCCCCCAGCATCCCCGCACCGCCCCCGAGGCCCTCCACTGCCGGCGCCATGCCCCCGCTGCGGAGCCACAAGCCTACGGTGGCGGTAAGGAACCTTCTCCCTCCCCCAAAGCTGCAGGCCAATAGTCTGGGTTCCTAGCCTGATCAGCAGCCCTAGCCCCTCATCTCTGCTCTCTTCCTCCTTACCTTTAACTATTCTCATCTGGCCCGGTACCATGCTGTCATTCCTGTGGCCCTTGACCTAGAATATTCCCTGCTCAGAGGCCCCCATTTCCTGTTTCCCGCTGTTTTGCTTCTATTGGGGCACATGTCACAATAATTGTAATTATCCAGTACTCATCTGTCTCTTAGGGCAGAGCCTGGATGGCATTTATTTTTGTTGCCAGGGCACCCAGCCGCAGACTTGGCCCCTAGGGGGTGCTCAGTGAATGTCTGTTGAATTAATGAATGTGACTCAAATTTAGGACATCACAGAGCAAAGGCTTCCTGTAGGATGGCTGAGCTGGTGGCCCAAAGAATACTCACTGAGTAGTTATTTGCTGCTGGGCACTGAGTTGGGAGAGACAAGGTCAAAACCACAGGACAAGGAGAGTTGGAAGAGACCAGGTCAAACCACAGCACAAAGGGGTGTGGTTCAAGGCAGCACTGAATAGTGGGAGGGATCAGATATTGAGAGAGAGGTGACAGATTTTGCAGACTGGGAAGGCTTCAGGACAGAGGATGTGCACCTGCAAGAACAGGGAGGAGAAGTGAATTTAAAGTAAAACCCAGGTACCTGGGTGGTTCAGTTGGTTAAGCATCTGACTTCGGCTCAGGTCATGATCTTGTGGTTTGTGAGTTCAAGCCCCACATTGGGCTCTGCACTGACAATGTGACGCCTGCTTGGGATTTTCTCTCTCCCTCTCTCTCTGCCCCTGTCCCACTTGCTTGCTCTCTCCCACTCTGTCAAAATAAATAAACTTAAAAAAAAGTAAAATCAGTGAAACTTAAACCTCAGATCCCTCACTTTGCCTCTGCCAAGGCCTTATACCTAATTTTATCTTCACAATTGTGTGCCTTGTTTAAGAGATCCAAATTATGTAAGTACCAAACTCCATAGAACCTGGATCTGGAGCAGATGGAGTGGGTCAGGACTGATAGCCAAAGATGGCAGTTGGGCACAGCTTTCTGCCACCACCCCCCCACCCCACCCCCCGCCCCAGCTGCCCTCAGTCAAGCCAGGAGATGTAATAGAATAAGGCCCAGGTGAAATTTCAATCCAAAAGACAGACTAAAGGTCTGGCTTTTCCCACTCACTGGTGTGTGACCTTTGGCAAGTCACTGAACTGCTCTCAGCTATATTTTTTCTACCTGTAAATTGGGCCACTTGACCTCACCCAGTTGCTTAGAGCAAACACAGAGAAGAGCCTCTGTAAATTGGACAGGCCACACCGCACCAAGGGTCAGATGTTGATGCCAGGATGGCTCTTCTCTGGTGCAGAGTAAACTGAACTCTTAACAATAGCCCTGTTGGGATGCGGAGGGAGGGAGGGGACACATGTTCTGTAGAGGAGAAAATTGAGGCAGAGAGCAGCTAAGAATCTTTTTTTTAATGTTTTATTTATTTATTCTTGAGAGAAAAAAAGAGTATGAGTGGGGGAGGGGCAGAGAGAGAGAGAGAGAGGGAGACACAGAATCTGAAGCAGGCTCTAGGCTCTGAGCTGTCAGCACAGAGCCTGGTACAGGGCTCGAACTCACGGACTACGAGATCATGACCTGAACCAAAGTCGGATGCTCAACTGACTGAGCCACCCAGGTGCCCCACTAAGAATCTTTTTTAAAGTCAAAAGAATAGACCCAGATCCTAAGATTTGGATGTTTGCCAGTTTGGGGGTAAAAAGCAGACCCTAAAGTAAGTTTCCCTAGCAGGGAAACCCCTGAAAAGATAGGAATGGGTAGGGAATTCATGTCACACATACAGACTCTGCTCCAAGAGTCAGGGTAGCAGCTGGGCTTTCCTTGGGGAGAAGGGATCAGGGTAGCTTGTTCAGAGTTGGCACATAGGTGCTTCTTTATGGGGGATGTGTTGGGGTGATGCTGGCCAAACTGATTGATATGCCTTCAAGCCATCCTCCTTACCCTAGGGTCTGTGTGGGTCTCCTAAGCACAGCTGGGCCCAGTCCCTACCCTCCTCCATGCCCTTCCAAGCCCCAGTCCAGCCAAACTGAAGAAGGAGGAAGATCCACCCCTGCTCCCCACTCACAAAGGTGTGGAGTAAAGGACCCTGAATTTGGTTCTGAGTAGGGCTCAGCTCCCAAATGTGTGTTGCTTACTCAATCATTAACTTCTCTGAACCTTGATTTCAATATCTGTAAAATAGGATAATAGGATGGACCTATGATATTTCTCTTGTGGAAATATTATTTACTGGCCTGCCAGTAAAAATGTCCTGCCCAGCCAGGTGTTACCTCCAGTAACTGACGCATCCAACCTATCTGTATTTCAGTCCCTCAGCCCGTACACCTGCCTGCCACCTCTTGGGGGGGTGCCTCAGCATCTCAGCACCTGCAGATCACACCCTGCTTCTGCTGACCTGCTGTCCGCCCTGAGCCAGGAGGAGCAAGATCTCATCGGGCCAGTGGTTGCCCTGGGGTATCCCGTGCACAGGGCTATTGGGGCTCTGCAGAAGACAGGGCGACAGAGCCTGAGCCAGGTGGGTGCATGGGGCCCAAAGCTGGGGGACTGTGGGTCTGGAGCCAGGGGAGAGGCCAAGTGGTTTTTATCTTTAACTTGAAAAAGTCTTTTTCCTTTCTCTTTAGAAGCAGAACCTTAGCCTGGCAGTAATTGCTGAGAGTTATTAGCAAGTTTCTAGACCCTAATGCTATTTTCTCCATAAAAGTTTATCAGGAATCCCTATGCCCATTTGGAGAGTTTTAATATTCTATTCCTGTCCCAGTCTCTGCCCCAACACAAGAGGCTGGAGCTTTGGGCAACCAATAATCTCTCCAGAGATCCCCAAAAGAACTTTCTGCAATGAGAGTGATGTTTCATACCTGTGTTGTCTAATACAGTAGACACTAGCCGTATGCTGCTATTTGAAATATGGATAGGGTGACTAAGAAACTGAATCTTTTTACTTAATTATAATTAATTTAAATTAAAATAGCCACATGTAGCTGCTGGCTACCATATTGGAAGGCACAGCTCTAACCACTTCCCTCAATGTATAGTTTATCCATATTCATATCCATCTTTTTCTCTTTCGATCTACCCATCCATCCATGTAGTCAACAGCATTTACTGGGCACTTCCTAGGTGTTTAGATGTAGGGGGGAACTATGGGGGAAACCTCCTCTTGATGCAAGGGGCTGCAAGGAATTTATGGCCATTCTTAATCAACCACAAGGAGGTTCCAGTGATCAGGAAAGTCTTCATGGAAGTGGCATGTCTTCAGCTAGACTTCAAGGATGAATAAGCTCTGAATTTGAAGGAAGGGGAAGGGATGATATTCCAAGCAGGAGGAACAGTGTGAGCAAAGGGGTGGAGACAGCAAGGAAGGGTTTGGGAGGCCCTGATCCCACCAGTCTTGCTGAAGTACAGGGTGCATGATGCTGGTAGGAGATAAGACAGGGAAAGGGAGTTGAGGGCAGATTGAGTGTACCTTGAAGTCTGGGCTGAGAAGTTTATAAATGACCCACTAGCAACTGGAAGGGATAAGGATTGTGAGCTGAGCAGGAGGTGACATTGAATGTCACTGCCCAAACCTCCCATCTCCTGCCTGAAGGTAACGTCCAACTTCACGTTGTTTTCTGAACATGGGGACACCTTTGGCTGGAAAGCTGAGCTGAAGGTATCAAAAGGTCCCAGGGCAGTTGGCGCTTAGTTGTCTCTTTGCCCCCCGCCGCCCCCCTCCCCCACCATTGGAGGGCTCAGGGACTCCACAGTCATGTAGGTGACTGATATGTGTTGGGACACTGAGGTCCAGAGCTGTCTGCTCCTGGATAGGGAGTGACAAAAGGAGAGTAACTCTCAGACTGGAGCTGAAGCAGGATGTGCCGCTGCCAGGCTGGGGAGGTGGGCGAATGTGCCTGGCCTACTTCCCCACCCACTCCTGCTTCTGCTCTACTTAGGCTTCATCAGTCTGTGCCTTGTCCTGGAGGAAGACTTCCAACATGGTAACCCCCATGGTCAGCTAACATGGAGGCTGCTGACATTTATTGAACACCTTCTTTGTGTCAGTCCCTCAATCTGAGAGTATTCAGTTAGGTCTTCTCAATTCTGCAAGACTGCCACCACTGTCCCCACTTTGCAGATGAGGAAATTGAGGCCAGGGAGGTTCATAAAACCAAACAGTGGCAGAACCAGGGTTGAGGCCAGGCTGGTTTGACTCTGAATCTTTGCTGCATGGTACTTTTCTCTCTTTCCTGTGGGAGAACCTTCAAGGGAAGCACCCCAGGCTGATCTGAGATTTTAGAGTAGATCTAAAGCCGCCCCCACCTTCAGCTGCTGCTGAAAGCCAGGACCTTGGCCAAGAAGCTGGCCAGGAGGACTATGAGGGACCAGGCCCACAGTGGGGGTCTACAGATTAGCTGGAGCCAGCACAGCACACTGACCTCCCTGTGGGTGGGCTGGAAGAATCCCACTGCATCAGGAACATCATGTTTCCAGATATGCATTGACCACCTGCCTGGCCAGCCAGATCTCTGGGTGGCCTTCTTCCCTGGTGGTCAGTCAGGAGCCAAGCCCTGAGGTGTGGGCCTGAAGGACTACTGGATGACTTCATCTGTCCTCCCCCACCAAGCTAATATTCCCCACTATTCTGTGAAGTTCCACCATTAACTGAGCAACTCCTTTGGGTTCAGATTCCTTCTCACATTAAAGGATATACACTAATGGTAAAACTTTTTGGCCAGAAATTAATGGCAGATGGTCCAGGAGGTAGGGCATCAGGTGAAGACAAGTTAGGTCTTAATTCTGCAAGATTGCCACCACTGTCCCCACTTGCTCTTAGAAGAGCAAGAGAGAAAGGAGGAGATACAAAAGATAAGCTTTGTCCATCATAGCTTCTTTCCTCCCACAAGGATTGATGTGCCCACTGACTGCTTACAGGACAGCGTGGGTAGTGTTTGTGAGCATCCACAGGCCAGACACCTTGCTATGGGACTCCAGGCAAGTCCCTCCTCTAGCAGCTGGGCCGCTGATGGACGGGCTGAGGGGTCAGGTGATCGAGGCTGTAGTCCTGGGTCCCTGGTCAAGCTGCCCACTCTGCCTGGACAGGTTTCTTCAATGTGCTAGGAGGGCTTGGCTCGGTGGTTTACAAAACATGCCCAGAGCTAGGTCTAGGTGCCCTGAGGCAGGAGAATTAGACTCCCAACTCCCCTGCTCCTGCCCTCAGTTCTCCCAGAGCAGCCCCAACCTTCCCATTATTGTTGAAGCCTCACGATGCTTGGACAGTTCAGAAGTTAAAACAGTTTGAAAACCATTGATCTGTATGATCCATTCTTTCTGCCCAGCTCTGAAGTTCTGCAGAAACCCAACCTGTTTCTTTTCCACTTATACCCGTAATTCTTGTGGTCTGGAGCCTTCACTTGGCATCAACTCTCTATAAATCTTGCTTTGATTTGCCTGGCACTCATGACTTCCCGTATCTGGTTCATCTCCCCCACTAAGCTGTGAGCTCCTTGAAGGTAGTTCTTAGTTCATTTTATAAACACAGCATAGCTCCTTCTGCCTGCCATGGTGGGTCCTCTGGGGACACGATGGTGAACAAGACTGATACAGCCCTTCCCTCCTGGAGCAAGAAGTCAGCAGATGAGAACATTGAGGAAGAGAGTAGAACAGCTACAGAGTTGTATGTGCTCTGATGGGGGAAGCATGGGTGCTGTGGGAGCAGCAGGCAAGGCACCCAGTGGAGGCTGGGGGCAGAGGCTTCCCAAGGAACAGGAGTGAGGCTGACCTTGGCAGTGGGAGTCAGATATACAGGGGCCTGGGGGTGCTGAGGGAGGAGTTGAGGCCACTGATGGGCAGGGGCAGGCCTTTGAGCTCTGGTAAGGAGGCAGTAGTTCATCCTGAGGGCAAAAGCAGCTCGTGTGGACTAAGCATGGAGTGATATGAACAGGTTTTCAGGCCTATGGAATCTTCCTCTGTCCTCCCTTTCCTGGCACTGAGGCTCACATGGTCCTGAAGGGTGGACATGTATGTATCCAGGGACAGGGGGGTGCTGCACAGTTGTGGAGGGTGAGGAGGCTGCTTCACACACGTGGGTGCTCACCAGGATGGATGGTGGGGAGATACCTCTGTTTCAGGCCAGTCCCACCCCCCCGTTAGGTTCTGAGAATACTGTAGCTCATCCTGACAGCCCTTTCCCTGGATTATAGCCCCCAGTTTGGGACAGTTGGTCAGAACTTGCTTCCCACTCATCTCCAGGTCCCCAGATGAGGCCTCTGTCCCTCTTTTATTGGCTCACAGGGTCTATGGGGCCATTTTGTGTATGGTGGGTCGACTGGTCAGCCTGGTCTGAGCCCTGGCCTCATTGAGGTCTCCAGGGTGCCTCTTAATCTTTTCCATCAGCTGACCCTGTTTCTCCTCTAACCACCCCCCTTTCCCCTTTCTGGCCCAGTTTCTCAGCTACCTTAGCGCCTGTGATCGGCTGCTGCGGCAAGGCTACGAGGAGGGCCTGGTGGAGGAGGCCATGGAGATGTTCCAGTTCTCTGAGAGCCAGGTCAGCAGAGCCACCTGCCTGCACCCGGGGGAAGGGGCGGGGAGGGATGTGGGTGCACACACGAGCCTAGTGTACAGGGCCACATCAGTGCCAGAGCCAGAGCCTGGGGGCTGTCAGGAGCTAGCCTGCTTGCTCAGCCCTAGGAACAAGGAGACAGCCCAGGGAAGTGAAGCATGGGGAAGGGGAGGAGAGTAGGTGGGGAGGGAAACAGGAGGCACAGCTTTTGTGTTATGTAGCTGAATCAACACCACAAATACTATATAGAGTGTCCATCTGTCAGAGACCCAGGGAGGAGCCAAGCGCAGCACAAAGATGCTTAAACTCTTCTTGGAGGGGGTTGCTGCCTACCTGGAAACCCAGAATGCATGCAGCCGGGGGCCCCGTAGTACATTCTGAGGGACCAATATGTATGACCTGTCCACAGTGTGCTGTTGGCTCAGGCTCTGCCAGGCAGCTCTTCACAGCGGCTGAGGGAAAGACAGAGGGGTGGGAGAGATGCTGAGGAGGAGGCAGGGAGAATAAGCAGAGACTTTTCAAGCACTGGGGCCAGAGGAGGAAGGAACTGTGCAGAGGCTGCACTGTGTGAAACCTCAGCAGGGTTTGGGGCCTGTGCAGAGAGCCCAGGCTGTGCATCCTCTGGGCATCCCTATGCAGCCTCCTTCTTTCTGCCCCAGTACCAGAGCATAGAGAGTCAGGAATGGGCCAGAGTGAGGGAGTAAGGCCAGGATGGAGCCAGTGGCCAAGCCAGGGCCTCCTTCCTTGGCACAGGAAGGGAAGTCCACGCCCACGTCAGCCAGAGGTACGGGCAGTATGCAGGTGCTGCCCGAGCTCAGGCTTACCTGACTTGGGGAGTCCAGAGCTCTGTAGGAGTAGATATAGTGGGCACCAGGAAGGGGGCTCCACAGGGAGGTGGCTGGCCTAGCAGAGTCTTCAGCACTCTCTCCTCTTCCTCTTCCTCAGGCGGGGGAGTTTCTGCGCCTGTGGGAACAGTTCAGTGACATGGGCTTCCAGCAGGACCGGATCAAGGAAGTGCTGCTGGTCCATGGCAACCGCCGTGAGCAAGCCCTGGAGGAGCTTGTGGCCTGTGCCCAGTGACCTCAGCGCTTTCCACAATGCCCATGGGTCCTTGTCCGGTGCCAGACCTGGCAATCCATTCTGGTCATGTTATTCAGACTACATAAGAAGTGCGCCTGGCTGCCTCAGTTGGCATGATTTAAGGGTTGATTTAAGGGTTGTAAGTTCGAGCCCCACTTTGGGTGTAGAGATTACTAAATAATAATAATAATAATAAATAAATAAACTTAAAAAAAAAGACTACATAAGAATAACAGTGAGGCATGCTCATTGTAAAAATGTAAATAATACCAAAGGTGAAGGTAAATACTGTAGGGGAGGCCAAACTTTAGGTTTTCAGCTGGGGCTTATTAATGAAAAGACAGATTAAGAAGAGAAAAACAGTTTATTAATGCATGTGGCACACATTATGTGGGAGAAACCTCAGTAAAAAGTAATTCAAAGCAGCAGGTGCAGCTCTGGCTTCTATAGCATCTTCAACAAGGATAGTAAATTTGTAGAGAAATATAGGACAAAGGAAACCAGTTTTAGGCTTCCAGGGATGGCAGGCTGTGGGGAATGTAATATGTGAAGCGAACTAAGGAGTAGGAGCATTTGCAGTTCCTCTGGAGCATCTTTGTGCTGGTAAGAATCTATCTCCAGAAAAGGAGAATTTATACCTTGGAATTAGGCAAAATGGGGGCGGAAGGGTAGAGAGAGTCTTTTTCCTGCATTTGCTGCTCTTTAAAAAAATTTTTTTTACATTTTTTATTTATTTTGAGAGACAGAGTGAGACAGAGCATGAATTGGGGAGGGGCAGAGAGAGAATGAGACACAGAATCCAAAACAGGCTCCAGGCTCTGAGCAAGCATTTAGCACAGAGCCTGACGTGGGGCTCGAACCCAGGAACTGAACTGTGAGATCATGACCTGAGCTGGAAGTCAGATGCTCAACCTACTGAGCCACTCAGGCGCCCACTTTTTTTTTTTTTTTTAATGTTTATTTACTTTGGAGGGAGGGAGGGAGAGAGAGAGAGAGAGAGGGAGAACATGAGTGAGCATGAGCCGGGGAGGGGCAGAGAGAGGAGACACAGAATCAGAAGCAGGCTCCAGGCTCCAAGCTATCATTACAGAGCCCGATGCGGAGTTCAAACTCAGGAACCCTGATATCATAACCTGAGCTGAAGACAGATGCTTAACCAACTGAGCCACTCCAGGCACACCTGCATTTGTTGCTTGTTAATTACCTTCAACTCAAAATGAATTTTATGTCAAAGAGGAATACTTTGGGGGGACATTCTGTTCTCCTTCAATACTAAAACAATCAGCTGAAAGAGTTGAAAGTGGCTGCTTCTGAAGAATGATAGATGGGGGAATGTGGACAAGGAACTGTGTTTTTTCATACAAGCTTTGTAAAACTACCTGTTGGGACTCTTTAAACTGTGTGCATTAGTAACTTTGATTTTTAAGAATACTAAAACAGGGGTGCCTGGGTGGCTCAGTCAGTGGAGCATCTGACTTTTGATCTCAGCTCAGGTCTTGATCTCAGAGTTGTGAGTTTGGATTCCACATTGTGCTCCATGCTGGGTGTGGAGCCTACTTTAAAAAATAAATAAATAAAAATAAATTAACAGTGGACAGTTCTTTTTGGTCCTGTGGGCTCCTGGTCATAGTGTGTAAAGAACATCTAACTGTGGTTCAGAAGACTTAATTCTTGTTTTGTTTCTGCTGATGACTGGTTCAAGGCCTCTTTGGGCCTCAGTTTCCCTGGGAAAAGTGGACAGATTGGACGTGGCTGCTCTCCATAAGAATCCCCTGGAGACTGTGTTAAAGAGTCCCAGGCCCTACTCCTAGGTGATCTGATTTAAAAAGTCCAGCTTGGCAGCCCCAGGAATCTGTTTTGTTTTTGTAAGAAGCTCTCTGGGGACTTTTTAAAAATCTGTTTTTTTTAAATTGCTTTTGTTATTGTTGACCTCTTGCACCCATTTCTCCCAACCATTAATCTGTTCTCTGTATCTCTGAGCTTGGTTTTTGTTTTTATATTTTTTTTCAGATCGCATGTGTAAGAGAAATCATTGTGGTATTTGTCTTTCTCTGTCTGACTTATTTCACTTAGCACAACACCCTTGAGGTCCATCCATGTTGTCCCTAATGGCAAGATTTCATTCCATTTATGGCTTGATACTATTCCATTGTATATACACACCATAGTTTCTTTATCCATTCATCCATGTATGGACATTTAGGTTGTTTCCATATCTTGGCTATTGTAAATAATGCTGCAATGAACATAGGGGTGCATCTATCGTTTTGAGTTAGTGTTTTTTTTTTTTAATAAATACCTGGAAGTAGAACTTCTGGATCATATGGTAGATCTATTTTTAATTTTTTGAGGAGCCTCCCTATTGTTTCCCATAGTGGCTGTACCAGTTTGCATTTCCACCAACAGTGCACAAGAATTCCTTTTTCTCCACATCCTCACCAGCACTTGTTATTTCATATCATTTTGTTAATTACCCTCCTAACAGTTGTGAGGTGACATCTCATTGTGGTTTTGATTTGCATTTCCCTGATAATTAATGATGTTGAGCATCTTTTCATGTACCTGCTAGTCATCTATATGTCTTCTTTGAAAAGATGTCTATTCAGATCTTCTGCCCATTTTTAAATTGAAAAAAAATTGTTTTAATGTTGAGTTATGGGAGTTCTTTATATGGCTTGGACATTAGCCTCTTATCACATATATGATTCACAAATATTTCTCCTATTCAATAGTTGCCCTTTCACTTTGTTGATGGTTTCTTTTGCTGTGCAGAATTGCTCTCTTTTCCACTTACTCATTTTTGCTTTTGGTGTTTTTGCTTTTGGTGTCAGATTCAAAAAAATCATCACCAAGACCTATGTCAAGGAACTTACTGCCTATATTGTCTTCTAGGAGTTTTATGGCTTCAGGTCCTACGTTCCAGTCTTAAATCCATTTTCATTTAATTTTCATGTATGGTGTAAGATGGCGGCTGAGTTTTATTCTCTTGCATGTGGCTGTCCTGTTTTCACAGCCCCATTTATAGAAGAGACTGTCCTTTCCCCATTGTATATTGTTGGCTCCTCTGTTGTAAATTAATTGACCATATATGCATGGGCTTATTTCTGGGCTCTCTGTTCTGTTCTATTTATCCGTGTGTCTGTTTTTACGCCAGTACCCCTGAGGATTCTAATTCATAATGGGCCCGTGGCCAGTGTGTGTGACCCTCAGGGCCAGCAGATCTAGGCCTCCTTCTGCTCTGACAATCTGGAAGTTTTTCCTCATTTGTGGAGCAGGTAGGTTGGGACCAGAGTTGTCTCCAGTCACCCCAGGCCTACCCTCTGGAGGACCCCAGGGATTGAGGGGACCAGTTGCTGGAGCTGGTCCATGACTCCGGCAAGCAGAGGTCAGAAGTCAAGACACTAGCGCCCCCGCCCTTCCCAGCTGGCCCTGTGCAAAGACCTACAGCAATTAGAGAATCAAGACCTCTCAGATCTCTCCACCCAGCAAGCAGGACTGGACCTGGAGCTGAGGCCCATAAAAAAACAAAATCTTCCATCCTTCTCATGGCTTCAACCCAGACACCTTGTTAGAATGCGTAGTGAGGACTCCTGCAGGCCTGTACAGGCCTAAACGGCAAGCCTGGGACCAGAACCCAGGACTCCTCAGGTCTATCCAGCCCCTGGGTGCTTTCCACTAAGCCTAAATGTCTGCCAACTTGAAATCACATTAAAAATATTCTTTGGCTTTAAAACTTGCTTTGAGTAACTTGTGGGCAATGCAAAACTATTTGAGAACATTGGCAAGACGGCATAAAGTTGGCCAAAAATAAAACTGCACTTGAAAAAGAATAAAATCAATTTCTAAAAAAGCAGTGTTAAATCCAAAGCCACTTGTATTTTGCTTTTTTTTTTGAAGATTTTTTTTTTTATATTTTTATTTATTTCTAGGAGAGAGAGAGAGAGACAGCGTGAGCAGGGGAGGGTCAGAGAGAGAGGGAGACACAGACTCTGAAACAGGCTCCAGGCTCTGAGCTGGCAGTCAGCACAGAGCCCAACGCGGGGCTCGAACCCACGAACCGCGAGATCATGACCTAAGCAAAAGTCAGACGCTTAACCGACTAAGCCACCCAGGCGCCCCAAAGAAGATTTTTTATTTTTAAGTAATCTCTACATCCAGCATGGGGCTCAGACCTACAACCCTGAGACCAAGAGTCACATGCTCCACTGACTGAGCCACCTAGTTGCCCCCTCAAAGCTTCATGTGTTTTGATTACGGTAGCCTGGCCTTGGCCTGCCACCTTATTAAGTGCCCTTGATTAGAAGTGGCCAATTGGCAGTCTTCTCATTCATGTTGCACATCATTCCACCATGCCTCTCCTCCCATCCTTTGCCCACCTGTACAAAATTTCCCTTTCCTAGGAAACTATTGCCTGACTTAAAACAGGGCATCAATCTGACTCTTGGCTTTGGCTCAGGTCATGATCTCACAGTTCGTGAGTTCGAGCCCTACATCGGGCTCTGTGCTGATGGTGTGAGGCCTGCTTGGGATTCTCTCTCTCTCCCTCCCTCTCTGCCCCTCTCCTGCTTGCACTCTTTCTGTCTCTCAAAATAAATAAATAAACTTAAAGAAAACCCTACATTTGTTAAAGAATAAAATGGGGCATCAATGGGCACGTTGTAAATTTAAAATATTTTTAGAAGGTGGGGTAGTGTGGTAGTTAAAGGCATGGGTTTTGAATCTGAATGCATAGATCTGAGCTGAAACCACAGTCTTATCACTAACTAGCTGCATCACCTTTAGAAAGTCCGTATCTTCTCTGTGCCTCAGTTCCTTATCTATCAAATATGGATACTGAAACTTCCCAGTTGGGATGATGAATGAGAGAGCACACAGGCAGCTTGTGGGATGGTATCTAGTAGCTGTTTACTTATTTATACATATTCATACCCTGCCATGGTTCTGTAATCGCTGCTACCTTTACTCTGATCATCCTCCTCCTCATCCTTATGGTCAACAAATCTCTAGTATTTATAATCAAACTCAGAAAACCTGGTGGAATACCCCCGCCCCCACCCATAACTCAGCCTCTCTGGTCAGCAGGGTTTAAGGAAGCCATAGCAGAGGATTCTGGGAGTATCACCTGAGAGGATAATCTC